GTATATACCTTATAGTAAGACGGAGTACAATAGGAGAATACCCGTTACACTTGCCTCCCTCCTGCCTCGACTGGGAAAGGCCGGCTTGCCAGGTCATAAATGCTGCATTTCACAAATTTTCACCTTTGTAACTGCAAGTACAGTCCAGTCAAAAATATGGTTTTTAATACGAACTTCATGTACTTGAACTCTATTCCACATTGAAGCAACAGTCCAGCCTGAAATTTATTTTGTAATACTAAACATCATGGAGCCGAAATTTTGCATTATATCAAAGAATTGTTTCTAAAATGACAAAAATATGACCTTATTTCAAAATTATGCCAAAATATGCTGTAAAACCAATAAAACTCCAAAATATGCATTTATATGCACAATAAAAACGACATAATTTCAATAAGAATGACTGGAAACATGCATAATTACATTTAAAAATAGGAATAAACCCTAGGGAAAAAATATGACATGTCATAGAAATCCGGGCCCTACTGATAAGTAACATCTAAAAAATAAAATAATTAAACAAGTAGTCTGTATGAAGACTTAGCAGGGTGACCTCATGATGCTGAACGTTAAGTTCCATACCTATGGTGTGATGTATACCCGGAACACATTCTAAAGAACTTCCAACAAAGACTGGTCCCAGAAAATTAAAACACCCTTACACACTAATATACTTACACTGATACGTCTTGATTGTCCAAATAGAACTCCAGGAAGCTGGAGAGGATAGATGCTGCTATTACCAACTCAAGTAAAATTATTCCAATTTTTGGCTTCTTGAGGAGGGGCAGAAGCAATATAGGAGAAATAATATATAGCTGCATATCAACAGATAAGTACCATGTTTCACCCATGCACTGTGGATGAAAATGTTATGTCTTATGAAAAATGTTGTTATACCATATTCTATTATTGAAATGGGGATTTTATTAAACTGATGAATTCTGTAGATATGAATTGCCAACATAATTATGAGCATTATATATTAAAGTTAAATTCTTCTAAACAAAATGGCAACACTGTACAATATCTAAATTCATAATGTGTTAAGGTTTCCATCTGATGATAATGCATATTTGTAATGATTGATTTAAGGGTTAAAATCATAGTGTATATAGAGAAGTTGTGTTTTTATATTAATCCATACGTATGAAAACTAATGTCACATCCACTGGTTGCCAGTTGCAATTTGTTCATGTGAGTACCACTGGAAGCGTCCCTTGATAGCTTGGATGTTCGCTGACCAAAATGTCCCATATCAGGAAAGGAATAAAAAAGTGGTCATGTCATAAGTAACCTCATTACAGTACAAGTACCATTCACAAAAGATGTTGAATACTTCCATTTAAAATTCTCATTATAGACTTCACAATGTTAGGAGTTAAAGGAATAGCAAACTTCTGCATACCATGGCCATAAATATTGTATTTTTACAAGTGGCTGTAGGCATGCATATTTGTGTAAGAGCATCGCCATATGCCACAAAATGACTTTCTGTCAAATCATTGAGTGAAGTGGCATACTATTGTTCGAACAGTTGTGATACCAACAGGGAATGTGGAGTTTTTCCTCTTTACCATATCCAGAAATCCTCTGGCACCCACCCAGACACACATTCAGGATAATGTATATGAGGAATGGCTTATTCTCAGTGTTTAAAACAGTTTTAGTTTGGAACTGCACTGAGTTTAAGAGTATATGGAGATTTGATCCCATATTCTATATATCTTTCATGTCATAGTGCATAGGAATTACTTCAAACTATATTCATATGGTCCTTAACTTATAGAGCCACATGGAACCCAGATTGCCCAAGGAAGGCGCCATTACAGTTGGCTGAAGGGTTAATTAGTACCGTAATTTTGTTAATTTTTCTAGTTGTTCTCTGCCTGAGGAAGTTAAACTTCAACAGCAGCTTTGTTGTTTCTAAATTTATATATTTTATCTTACGTTTGTTAATTTGTTTACTTTAAAATTTCAAAAAGCTACAAACTTACATAATTTGTAAACAGCTGAGGTTAAAAACATAACAGTTTCAGAAACTTCTAACATGATATTTTAGTAAGCCATTTTTGTTTCAGTGCATGTTAATATGAATCATTTTCTGTTCATTTCCATGGATCCCAGTAGTAATAGTTCGTTGTGAGTGTAGCTAAGAACTGATAGTAGGCATGAGTTTACATCATGGCAGATGATGTTCATCTATCACAGAATTTGGTTTGTGACACAGAGTTAAGTATGCGGCTGGGTAGATAAATAATCTCTGTGCAGCCAATCAGTCATGTCTAGTGTCCAGTTTGAAGAGAGCTGTAATGTCTTTCCTTGGAAATTTGGAGATTAGTTCCTTCCTAGTCAATAGGATATTGTTCTCCTAGTAATACTTTTGCTTTGGTAATCATATTATATATTGGATATATTTATAGATGATCAATCTGATGAATGGATGGAGGCACATTAATCTTTTATTTGTTGAATTGTTGTACATTGTTCCAATGTTGACAGTGACAGTTTGTACTTTGTTGCACCAAAAAATTAGTGTTTTCCTTTCATTGTATGTTGTGAAGGTATATATTGAAACATTATTTTCTTCTGAAAGCTTTGTAGCAACTTCACAACCTGATGGACTTGGATTAATATATTGTGGCATGCCATCAGAAATCCAGAATGTTTGAGGAGATCACAGTTGATTTCCTAGGCAACGAGCGACATTCCTGCTACAATGCTACAGTCAGAATGCATCCATGGATATACAGAGGCTAATGATCTAACTGTGGAATTTGCACTGTTACATGTGAATTGTTGGAAGGAGCTTTTGCATAGCACTGGCTGAGGTTAACCCTTCGACATGGTGTTCTCTATTGAATCCACGTGCAAGTTATAGAAGTCCAGCTTCAACAAGACCACCCGTGTGGAGGCGGGGTTGAATACCTCTACCGTGACCCTGCGAGTCATAGTAGGCGACAAAAAGGGAAGTCTCAAACCTGAGACAGTAAAATATGGTCACGAGTCCCAAGGGACTCGGACCTGAGAAAGACTGTGCTGGCAAGGACCAGCAGCATATACAAAAGACAGGCCCGTCCTCTCGTCAGAGAGGGCGCCCCACAAAAACAAGACCGTAACTGTCAAAAAGTGATAACTATCCGGTCATGAGCCACAGATGGGGCTCGACACCAAGACTTACTGACTGACTGTCAGTCGCAATGTGACTTTGACTTTGATCAGTCAGTTTTTGAGTTTAGAGTCTTAGTGTATCTCCGCCTAGAGCAGAAGCAAGCTGGCATCCAACAAAGGGTTCAAGGCACTTCACCGAGATTAGCGGTGCAAGAAGTACTTGTAAGAGTGAAGTTGTGAATGATTTTACTTGGAAGTGTAAAAGAGATCGTCCAATAAACATATTTGCCTAATCTGAGACCTGCGTGAATTTTCTTGTCGTGTTGCTTAGCAAACATGTGACAGTATTGTTTATTTATATGAAATTGCTCCTTGAAGGGCTGGCTTTAAGTCACTAAAAATAAATGCCTTACTGAAAATACTATGTGACAGAATAATTGTTCTATAGGCTAATAATTTTTTTAAAGAAGTTGTTACTCTGGTAAGATTTTATTGCAACATTATTTACTGCATTTCTGTTTCATAACTGGCAGGAAGTAATTGGAGGAATAACTAAGACTAACGCTGCCATAATGCAGTAATAAGACTTTATACTCCTGAGGCAAGTATTCTACATTGTATTGTATGGTAATTTTCAGTAGTTTTATTAGATGATTCATTACTGGCATAGAGTTGTAAAATTTCTCCCAACTGCACATTCCATAATTCATCTCCCAACTAAGTGTGACAGTTTAGGCCGCGCCATAGCTCAAGCAGTTAATCGCTGGCTTCCCACCGCGGCGGCCCACGTTCGATCCCGGGTCTGGTCAAGTGGGATTTGTGGTGGATAAAGTGGCACTTAGGCGGGTTTTCTCCGAGTACTTCGGTTTCCCCTGCCAATCTTCATTCCACCAATTGCTCCACAATCACCCTCACCTATCATCTGGGGCTGGTACAATAGGCCAGAAGTGGCCACAATACAAGGGACTTAGTCCCACTCCACTAGCAATAAAGAAAAAAGGGGGTCATGTTAATGCATGTCTATCTGTTGCCACAGACTTGTTTACCGTTTTGTTACCTAGCAGTGACTGCATCTGTTCATTCCACTGTTCTGTCTTTCAGCTATCGTATTCCAATATTGTGTACAACAGATTATGTAAAGGTCCTTCAAAAGCAAAATGGGTCATTCATTTAAACCAGGGCTCAGGTATTAAGTCCATATGAACTGTTGTATGGTACAATACGAAGTCTCATTTCCTTCTATGGCAGTCCTTATATATTACATATTTTCACTTATTTATTTATTTATTAGCTGCTTAATGATGATGTTATTAGTGCAGGCTATGTAGTGTTTAATGGTTTGATGATCAGTGAATGGAAGAGGATGCAGAAGGATGTTTTTGTAGCCTATTTTAAGGTACTATTCCAACATTCTCTTGGAGGAACTAAAAAATAGTACGAAACATCTCCGTCAGGATAACCACTTCCTAGGCCAAGACTTGATTCAGACCTCTAATATATGAAACAGCTGGATTACTCATTCAACCACTACATTCACTGCCATTGTTTTCAAAAATAGGCTTAGGTCTATATGTATAATACAAACTCCGTTGTAAATGCAACACTTTATTGTAGTTCTTGTCCCCCTTCTTTCACACTACATGTTTCGGCCACAACCAGCCATCATCAGGTGTATTTTACTTCACGTAATTGTCACACTGCACTGCACTGCACTGAAGCACATATAAGCATAGAGCAGGTATCTCTGTGATTTTTTTATTTTAAATTTACATTTAAATATTAAATTGAGAATTTAAAATTTTGAACCAATCGAGAAGTCAATATTAATAAAGATTTTAAACCTAATTGACAAACCGACAAGGGAAGTTCTGGAATATTGGGTGCCGATTGATGACAGAGCAATGAAAAATTGGAAATCTGGAGTTTAAATGTTGATATTGAGTGCAGTGTGACAGCTACATGAAGTAAAATACACCTGAAGATGGCTAGTTGCAGCTGAAACATGTAGTGTGAATGAAGGGGACAAGAACTACAATAAAGTGTTACAATTATGACGGAGTTTGTATTATACATATAGAAGTGTGGAATGTAACAGGATTCTTAAATATAATACAGGCTTAGGTGTCTAAGTCATCACATGTTGTATGGAAGAAATGCCACTACTGAAATTCAGATGAAACTAGTTGCGGTTTCATTTGATTTATGTAATATCTGCAGATATAAGCCGTACAGTTATTTTAACAGCCATGAACCAACCAATTTTATATTTGGATGGTATTCTGTCATTAATCATCTTTATTGAATGCCTTGTAGAGATATGCAGGATCATAAGCTGAGGAATGAGGAATTAAACATAATGCTACTCTAAAAATATTTTGTTTTCTTGCATTATTTGCAAGTACATACCAATTCTCTAGGATGAAAATAGTTTTGGATATGAAGAAGTGCTGTCCACCAGTTTTTTTCACAGTGTGATACAATGTCTGACCGGAGGTGACTCTCCCACAGAGGACCAGATCCAAAGTGCAGAATGAGACTTGTATATACAAGAACAAGAACAGCCATCAAAGGTGTTGTCCTAGTAAATGGAAAAACAATTATGTTTATTTATTTGTAAGTGAAATAAGAGATTCATTTATAGGCTGATATCTTTATTGAAAGAAACTGAGGCTGACAGTAAAATACACCACAACTCCATAAATGAAAAATATCCAAGATCTCACTCTATGTGAGAGATGAACGGAAAGTGGCGGGAAAAAATATGGATAATGCGAATTTGGAAGAGAAGTGATTCAAGGAATTAAACATGACTTTACATAAACAACTGTGGAAATGAGGGATCTGGTATCACTCACAGTAGTGGGCATTAAGATTATGGTTATGGCAGAACATAGTTTACATCTGTTATGTATGAAATTCCACTACCCAAATTTAGGTTAAATCAGTTGAATTACGATTTTTCTTATTATTTTGATATGATATGTTTTATTTACTGATACTTGTGAATATGCCGTACAATGGCGTTTCCATAAAGAGAACAGTGAACCAATCCTGACAAGAATAAGTAGTACTGGATGCATTATCTGAAAACCTAGATCCATGGCTGGAAATGAAGCAGATGGAGAGAGATGATATCTCTATAGCCACAGAGTGTTTTTTTTATTGAAGCTATTTACAGTGCCTTAAAATATTGTAACTGTGTTTTCCAACATTGATACATGCAAGAATGAATACCAGAATGTGCAAAATTATGATCTCTTACAATATGTGTTAGTCATTCCCTGGGTCTTTTGCTAATCTGCAATGTCTAAATAGCTCTGCAGAGCCATTTCATCCATCTCTGGATCTAATATTTAGTTTTTTTATTATTATTATTATTCTTAGTGGGGTGAGACTGAGTTCACTTGGTACTGTGGCCACTATTGGCCTATTGCACCAGCCCCAGATGATAGATGTTGGTGATTGTGGAGCAATTGGTGTAATGAAGATTGGCAAGGGAAACCAAAAACCTGCCCCAGCACCACTGATTTAACCTGAGTTAAAAGATAATACAATTATGGTGTCCAATTAACATACGGCTTTATGATCCATCTGAAAGTTTGATATGGATATTTTTCATTGAAGAACCTTTGAACCAAGGTCCCTGTGGGCGTGCTGAATTGAATGGAATTTTACTGCAGCAGTGTGGCATGGTTGCATACACAGAACTCTGCTATAGATGTCTTGGCATGAAGAGTGAATGTATAGCATTTCACAGAAATACTGTTTTTTTTTTTATGGAATATCTAAACCTTTTTTATTTTCCCATCTTTTTTTCATGCTACAAAAATGTAACTGCTACTAAATGTTTACAGAATACATTCATGGCCCTTCTTGCCATTATTATTATGGAATGTGCCTGGTTTTTACACTTGTTCTGAATCCTTAGAAAATTAGGAACCTGTGGCCACCATCAATAAATTTTTGTTTCTTCAAAATGTTTCTGAAATTAGTCATTCAAATTTGGTGGTATGTATATTGTGTGTGAAATCCACATAATTTACTTAGAAGCAATTATCAATGCCCAGGCATTTATTTATATTACAATAAACTCGATCTAGTATAAAATTTCACATTTACCCCATCTTACATTAATATCACATAAATATTGAAACTGGGGACATTAAATCAGAGACTTAAGTAATATTTCTTAAGAAATAACTTGTTTATCATAATTGAAGTGAGTTGTTAGTGACAATAATTAGCTTCCACTTAAATAGTGAAGTGGTAATAATACTTTCACTAAACCATTTATTACCTCATATATCGATGAAGAATGTAGACAGGTAGATTGAATTTCACCCCTCTTTCACTCATTGTCTCCATGAAGATGTAACACAGCAGAGCACTACTTATTAAGAGGAAAGTGTCAACAGCAAAAAATGCGCCTATTACAATCACGTGTCCCCAGTTTCTGAGCTGTAGTAACAGAATCAAGACAATGAATCAGTTACTAATTCTGAGAAATGGGTGCTTCTCCGCCCTCCTATTCAACCTTATCATCTCACATGCTCTCCTTTTCCCTTCCTCTACAACCTGTTTTGTGTATTTCACAATTTTATAAATGTTTTAGTCTCTATACTTAAGTCAAGAGTTATTAGTTTCTTTTGTTCTCAGTGCCATTAGTGGTGACAGAGGAGAATACTGTCATGTGTAATGTGTATCACTGTGTTTTTCGATTATTACAGTTTTTCTAAACGTATAATGTTACTTCCACGTATTCGCTTCCATCACCCATGTAATTTAAGCTAAAAGTTTTAAAATTCAAAACTGTCTTTCAAAACTCTTAATTCAGTTCACACATTTTTCTTCTTACACGGCCATCATCAGGTGCTTTAAAATTTTTTTGACAAAATTGCTGCACTTTATATATTGTCATAACACTTTATGTAATTTCTTTGATTTAATCTTAAATTGTGAGGTGTAATGTCTTTTCTTGCGCAGCTATGTTGGTGAATGATATATTTTTATTGCTGCTGTGTTTACTTCTTTCTGTTATGTCTTGTGTAGATGTTATGTCATTTATCTGTCTGTCTATAGCATAACGTCTCCACAAGACACAATAGAAGACGTACACAGCACCAAAAGCAACACACACTGTGCAAGAAAGAAAATTGTACTTCAGAATTCAAGATTAAATAAAAAAGTAGGGAAAATGTTACAACAGTATACAAAATGCAACAGTTGTAATGCACCTGTTGACACCCATGTAGGCCGAAACTTATTGTGTTAAATATGACAAATAAAGGTATACAACCTGAAATCAATTAAAGATTTCTAAAAATTAGGTTGTGGTTTTAAAACTAAAGACAGAAACATGTACATGGAGGAATAGACACAGTGCAATAGGATGCTCAAATTCAATACAATAATCTGACATTTTACAACACCACAATTATAAGGGCCCTACAAGAAGTATGCTGTGGGGTATGAAAGGGGTTAGAGGTAAAGGAACATAATCCGGACCCATTCCTCAAAATGTCCTCAATCAGTACAAACAACACTAGGCACAATTGAAATAAGCATATATATTGAACTGTAACTAAATACATCATCATCCTCCTCATCATCCTTTCCTGTATTAGGTCTCCTGAAGCCTAGTATGAATATCACGAAACAACAAATATGTTTATCATTGAATCAATGAGTCCCTAAATGTTTACTTTCATTTTTTGTGTTAATTAATAACCAGACAGGCTTTACTTACTTCTTTTGCAAAACCGAGAATGTTAATTCCAGGGTCACGAAATGTTGAGCTAAATGAGTGTCCCATTACAACCCAATTAATACTGAAGAATCGTATGCCATGCAGACAATCTAGCATGTTGCTAGAACGCTTTGTATTCAGGAGTCGTATTCCATTTCTGTACCATGAGAAGATCAGTAGAACTTCTCTACGATTCCCTAATTTACATATAAGAAAGAACATAAACACTTTAATAATATGATCTCTTTTTTGAGTTGAAGTCATTGCAATACACATCTGTCTCCATCATTGTGATTCATCTCTAGCTTCTTAGAAGCTAGTTCTTCTAAAAACTTCGATTTTAAGAAAGTAAATGAAGATATTTTAGTGACACTCTTGTCAAGACGATTCTTATTACTGACAAATAATTTTCTTGGTAAATGTTTTTGACAAATTTCTCAGTTGATTAATATTAGTACCACAAAATAAATACCTCATGACTGTAACAACAGTTCTCCATCCATTCATACATCTATGCATTTACAGTGCATAAAAAAAATCCGTGGCTTTAGTCCACAAGCGAACTATACCAACTGAGCGATCGGCGCTTATCGTCGAAGTTAGTGCAAAATTTAACGGATAGAGGGTGTGGCGTGGTCAATGCAATGAATCCCCACCGCTGTTAATTTTGGTCTTATAGATTGGAGCCTCTACTTTTCCATTCAAGTAATCCCTCAGTTATCCTCATGAGGTTGAGTGGACCCCATTCCAGATCCACACTTCTCAGAAAATCTGGTAGCGTCGAGAATCGAACCCAGACCTCTGTATCTGTAGTCAGGAACTCTGACCACTAGACTGCAGAGATGGTCGCATATAGTTCATAGTCTAATAAATAGTTTCTTCATGTGATACTTCACAATTAATAGAGCAATTGCAATCACAAGAATTCTGAACTGTCCACACCATTAAAATATCTCAGTGGTTTAAGATCATTAAATTTTACTCAAAACATTTTTTTGATGTGGTGCACAATTTTCAAAATACAAGGAGCAATAATATTCTAAAGGGTTCTGACGATAGTTTCTAACACTCAGAATTCTTTGATTTTTGTCCTTTATCCATCATATGGTATTGTAACGAACACGGCATTTCGAAAACTGCTCTATTTCCATCGTCAGATGACAGGGTAGTAGACACCTACTCTGTTGGGTCTGTTAGAAACAGCTGGTCTCAGTCACTGAATAACCTATGTTAGTATAACTGCAGCTACATACGGACTTGAGATCGGGGTTGATCAACAGGATATAAGATGAAAATATACAATAAGAATGCGTGTAAAATGTAAAATTATTTATGTGTCTTCACAGTGTAACATATATGCCACCAATATAACTATTGTCCACTCAGATTTCTGCAGAAGAAAAGTGTACATCCCAAATTTCCTTTACAGTTTACAGTTATTCTTGTAAGAGAGGAAGTATGTTGCTTAATTTATCCTTACCTGTATTTTTTTTATTTAAACTCTGCAGTTCACAGACCAAAGAATTTGGTTGTTCCTACTTCTTAAATTATTTTAACTTAAACCACATTTAGATTAATTGATATTCTGTTGTTATTAACACATTTTATAAAACCTGTCTCATCAAAATTTATTTTAAGTGCATTAACTTTAAAACTAGTTATATCAAGAGCACATGGCCCTGTGTTCAGGTTTAAATGGACATATATACTTTGTGCTGATGATTCTCATGATTTAAAAAGTTTTATTATAAATCTGCGTTTGACACATATAATAAACATAACTTACAGACACCTTTGGTAGGGTTTCCCTAAGTCAGTTTTCAGCATTGCTACTGGGTGTGTGCCATGAATTGGCTCTATTTGAAAGAAATTACATTTTGAAGTAGAGTAGTTACGAAACATCCCATATTTCAACTTTCAGAGTCATCATGACTGAGTATGATTTGGATACTGCCTTATTCACCTCATAGAAATGACAATATGAACTTACTTGAAAGCTGTAAAAATTTATTTGATGTGTTTTAAATGCAACTCTTCATGTCTGAATTATTAGTGCAGTGATTTGCATATAGACATATAAGTCTGTCTCATAAAATATATGTAAATTAAAACTTGTTTAAAATCGCTTTAAATAGCAAAACTTACGTGGATCTGTGACAGTAATATCATACCCAGTGCTGAGAACACATAGCAGGCCAAAGAAACTCACAACTGCTCTGAAAATATGAAAATTAAGTAAATAAATATTTAAGAAAATCTCAAAGTGCAAGGAGTTTTACTTTATTGCTAGACAGAACCTTTTCCTGTTTTCAACAAAATTACTACTTGTAAATGGAACACAAATTATCCAGGTGACTCAGTTGCTGGATTTAGCTGAAAATCTCTGTGTAGTTCTTAGCCCTTTCATTTCATGACTAAAAGATCTAACTAACTAACTAACTAACATCATGGAGCTTAGTACTTCCATAGAAGCCACAACTCCCTCATCTACTCAAGAATTTCCCAATATTATATGACACCTGAAATTTCATTACCATTATCACTCATAAGAGATCTCCACTGGAATCTATCCTGAGCCAGATCAGTCCAATCAGCACTCTCCCATCATATTCCTGTAAGACCCATTTTCATATTATCCTCTCACCTATGTGTAGGTGTTCATAATGGTCCCTTTCCTTCTGGCTGTGCCACAAAAATTTTATATACATTCATTTTCTCCCCTATATGTGTTACTTGCCCTGCCCATCTCATCCTCCTTGAACTGATCATTCTAAATATACTTGTCTTATAGTAAAAGTTATGAGTCCCCATTATTCAGCTTTCTACAACCTCCTAACACTTCACCCCTCTTCAGTTCAAATGTTCTCCTCAGCACCTTTCGCCATAAAAGAAGCTTATTTTATTTTCCTCCCTTAGTTTCAGAGAGCAAGTTTCACGCCCATGCAAAACCACAGGCAAAATTATAGTTTTGTATATTAACATTAAATTCTTAAGGACCTGTGTCTAATGGTGCAACCCTAATATTGCTTGTAGAAGAAATATAAATAGCAAGATTTATGTTACATTATTTTTGTGGTTTTTGAATTAAGTGTTTTGAAGTGCCAGTAAATTTCCATTATGCTTAAAGCCATAATAAACCAACCAACATCCGTGTTATTTATTCCCAGGCTCATTAAACTTACATTGCAAGCCAGTCAAGTGGTAGAAATGGCCTACTTCCTTGAACATGGCAGTCTAATGGATCCACATTTATTGTATAATTAAGTGCTGTTGTAAGGAAATCCTTGAGATCATCAGCAGTACATGAAGATGGTGTACATATTGCCCAAGTAAATGGCCTTGATTTCACCTAAAAACAGCAAAATTATTCAGCTGATTAATTTGCATGGTTGAAAATTTTAACTGTCACAGATTGTAGATAGATTTATTGCAGAATATTATATACATGAGGAAACACAAATGGTGATATAATACACAGATTCTATATTCATATTGAAAGATAAACGAGACCTTTTAGAATTTATCCAAACTGAAAATTGAAACAATCAGGAAAGATGATATAGGTGTGGTATATAACACACACAAAAAAGAGAAACATACAAAGATTTGGTTAGAAAACCCAAGTGAGAGAGACCACTTGGAAGACCAGTGCATAGATGGGTGGCAAAAATTCGAATGGATCTTAGAGAAATATGATGGTATGCTGCTGATTGGTCTGATTAGGGACTAATGGTAAGAACTTGTGAATATGGTAATGAACCTTTGGATTTCATTAAGTGCTGGTACAGTCTTGAGTAGTTAAGCAAACATTAGGCTCTCATGAAGGATTCTGCTCTGTAAGGTAGTGTTTTTATGTGAAATTACCATTAGGTTGCCAATTTTATTTGCTTACAAATAATTATTCAATTCAATTCAGTTCAATTTATTTTTGTTCATCAGCTCTACATTTGGCAATGGCGCCTCCAGATATAGAATACGTCAAAGCCCAAGTTACTATAAAATCAATCCAGAGGACAACATCATGAAGATATTACAACTTATATACAAACAGTGTTGCAATAACTATTGATACAAGTAAATTTGCTGTATTTTGTACTTCAGTGTGGCACTATGGAGCAGTACACATAATGATGCATTTGAATCATCTTTAAATCAAGTAATCACAAATATTTCATTACATAGAGGTTTTCTTAGTGGAAGTTGAAGAGTGTCAGAGTTGTTGACATGTAGTGTTTGGCTGTTTTTAAATGACTTGTCCAATTGTGCCTGTGTAGCAGTTATGGATGTTAAAACAATTATAATTGTTTTAACATATAACTATAATTGATAATTATCAATTATAGTGTGTTCCTTTACAATTACAGGTCCCAGAGAATCTCAAGACAACAGAATCTATATATCTCATATATTAAGATATTGTTACAATAGTTTTACTACCTGAAACAATGACTCAACACATTTACATGTACATAAGTAACTCCTGTGTATTGGGTATACTTCAAATAGTCTACATTCTCAATCAGTCAATTTTTGTAGGATCCATTTTTATTATGCTGTCGTCTTCCTACTGTTATCCAATCGATCTCCTTTCCAACCATTAACAACGATGTTTGTAACCAAGGTCTTGAACAACACAGTGTTTTAAATTGGATGTTCATTTCTGTGTCATAAATAAATCTCCACTAATATCTTTATTGTGCATATAGCTGAAAGCATGAAATCATCATTAAGAAAAACCATAATTATGTGTGTATAACATTTTCATCACAATAAATTATGAACATTTAATTGTAGCTAATGGCATTGGTCTGCTGTTTGGTCATTCCAGGAACTTGGATTTTCTTGGTCAATGATATGTGTATTCATCAAGTGCATAAAATTTGTAATAACATGACAGCATATTTTGTTACAGAGCTATACCATACCTCCTTTAAGAAAACAGATGCATTTATGTTCACACTCGCCATGCAGTGCTGACCCTTGAATGATCCCCATTCCTCATCCACATTCACATCCAAACATTCATCAAAGTTTCCTGGATGAAGAAGGCTGCCTGATAATACTCCCTCAGGGATCTTTGTAGATGAATCAAACACTGTGTAGCATAATTGAAAATTATTCTGTTACTTTTCATTTACTTTTTTAGTTTATCCTTGTAGTCAAATTATTGACATGATACATGACAATGAAGCATAACACTAAATTTACATAATTCAGCACTTCAAATGTATTTTAATTGAACACAACATAATTTTTATTTAAAAACAGACACTATTAAGCATCACATTTTACTTAATAATGAGATCTGTATTCATCTACAGATTATAATACATGTTGTAGTAGAAAGGATCTCTGCTCCCAATTTCAATACTGTTTTTATTCAACTCCCAAATTGAAATTTACAGTATATTGTATAATTGTATTCCTGTGTTCATGAAACTCTTCTTAAAACCGAACATGGAAATAAGATCTTTGACATTAATTGTGATATGAATTTCTATAGTTTGCTCCAACTTTTCTATGTTTATTTTTATAAGCATACCATGTCCTTACAATATATTGTAAATATTATAAAGCCTTAGTAAATTGCCTACAATAGTATGCCTCCCTATATCACTGCTCATTTGTATAGCCCTCTTTTGAAATTCAAAACTTTCAGAATTATCACCCCAGAAAATTAAATCATGCCTCAAATTATATGCCCACGTACACTACAGTGTAGTAAATTATCTGTGTTTTTGCAGCCGTCATGTGCTTACACTTCAACTGCTTAATACTTCTTAATTTTGTTGAAAGGTAAAGTGATTTCTGAAATGGAATGCCCATTAAGGCGTATGGGTCGAACAGATCTGAAGGTCCATCCATTCTTTGCCTTAGCACTTTATGTACATATATGACTGGTCAGTTTCACATTCTGGCTGCTTTATATACCGAATATATATTTTCAATGCTCACTAGAGAAAAAGGGTGAGAGGGTACCTTAGCCGTTATGGATGAGGAAAGAAGAGAAATATTCTGTTCCTCCCGGGAAATGAGCTTCAGTCTTCCTTCCCATAGCTAACCACTGTACTGACTAATCTCATTTAGAGCTATGTTGTACAACTAAATGGACAATAAAACTTTGTCGGCTTCCTCAAATTTAGGCTGTTTATCTTTTTGTTATGACAGAGCTATCTTTAATATCAGACTATACTCTTAATTGGTAATGTTATTGTTTCTTTTGTCTTGTTAAAAGTATTCTGGCTTTTGAAGTTGGAAATGTATTTAGTTTTGTACACTTCACTTTCTTTTATGCTCATATTTGACTGACTGTTTAAATGATACTTGGAGCTGAACTGAGAATGTTCTACATGAGTGTGGGGAGACTGCANTAATTGACGCTTAAAAACCTTGAACTCTTGAATACTTCTTATTTGAGAGGGCAAGTTATTATACAATCTTATTCCCATGTTAATCACACTCCTTTTACAACGTGAGGTGTTACATGGTTGGACATACAAATTCTGCTTATGTACTGTGTTATAACCGTGCACATCTGAATACGAGATGTTATATATCCTATTTTTCCTTAAAAAACACAACGTCTCAAAGATATACAATGAAGTTAAGGTTAAAATTTTAAATTCACCAACAAATTCTCTACACGATATCCTGTTATTGACTCTTTTGATCAGTCTTAAACATTTTTTTTTTAATTTTAAATACAGTTTGAATGTCCTTTTGACCACAGCCCCAAAAAATAATACCATATCTCAATAATGATTCAAATTTCGCAAAATACACACTTCTCAAAATTGGAAGACTGACCAAATCTCATAAGGATTTGATAAGAGAGATGGTTTTGTTTAATTTTTGAACTAAATGGTGAATGTGAGAGGACCAGTAGTTATAGACTTTTTAAGGAACTGTATAAAGAACAGAACACCGCTTTTTATCTGCATTGCTTACCGTTACCCATTAATTGCTCTTCCTGCTTTTCTTCTCTTCAAAGAGATCAATATCTTGTCCTTACAAGTAACTTTCGCTTGTAATTTAATTGCATTTCTGATCTTTATGTATTAACTCATATACTCATGCTTACAGACTGCTCTACTGACAAGTCAGTAAAGTTCATAGTCCTGCATATGTATTGTTCAACATAATGGGGAAGAACTCTTACTTTTTAAGGCCCATAGTGATCCTTGGAATATGCCCTCAATTGTCTTTACAGTGTGGTTCTTGCATAATTCATTTTTCACTGCTTTGAAGGCTGGTATCCTGTACAGTAAAAAAATTAAGATAATAATTATGTAGATCGAAGCCCACTCTTTTGACTTACACAGTACAAGGCTCCTTAGAAGTTCCTAATTCTGAGAAATTCATCCAGGACAATTTTCTGCCCTGTGCAATTGTCAACTGTTTTGCCTCTACACTCTGCTCTTGCACTTAAACTTACACTTTCTTTTTTATTGCTAGTGGGGTGGGACTAAGTCCCTTGTACTGCGGCCACTTCTGGCTGTACCAGCCCCAGATGATAGGTGAGGGTGATTGTGGTGCAATTGGTGGAATGAAGATTGGCAGAGGAAACCGAAATACTCGGATAAAACCTGCCCCAGCGCCGCTTTGTCCACCACAAATCCCACTTGACAAGACCCGGGATCAATCACAGGCCACCGCGGTGGGAAGCTGGCGACTAACCGCTTGAGCTATTGTCCCGCCATAAACTTACACTTACTCTTACACTTACATTTATGCTTGCACTTCCACTTAAACTTACATGCCCAGGCATGCACACACACACATGCACACACACACACACACACACAAACAACAGAAACCTGTGAATGTGCATGCGTGAACACCAACCACACAAACACACATATGGAGAATTTGTCTCTCCAGTGACGACTTCTATTCTGATAGCTCTCTGGTGTAAGGCCTTATATGTGTGGAATTCTTAATGTTTTAATAATGTTTTGCAGATGATTTGTGATGTGATTGGCTTGTATACCCTATCTTGTGTTGGTACAAGTGTCTGGAGCTTGGAATAGCTCTATTGATTGGGACCAACTGAGTAGGTTTTACCTACTACCAATTTTTGTTGTGACTTTAGTCATTTCTTCTTTGGCCACTGCACTGAGTGTATCGTTCAAACATGTAGATTAGAGGATTAATATTGTACTTTCTTTTGTTTTGAAACAATGCCATAATCTGTACCTACACCCATAGTTCCCTCTTATCAGTTTGCCATCGTGTTAGTAACAGAAAAATTAGAATACTGGACTGATTACTTTTCTTGTAACTTATTGACGTTATAGCAATACCAACTGGTCATGCGTGAACAAATCTGAGAGAAATAGTATAACCGAGTGAGAGAACAAAAAAGAATTGGTTTCTGATTCTCAGCAGAGAATTCTGGAATTTGCTATAGAAATAAAAATTGCCATTTTGAAAGTGTTGTTCCAGGATTTATGAATTATGGAATGAGCATAAGTCAAACAGTGATTTAAGGTAAGGCTGTATGCCACCCGTCTGGTAGAAATTCGGTCGCATTCTTGCAGAGAATTTTCTGATTCATTGAGTTTTTCTGAGTGCATTCTAGGAACTTATGGGACGTATGCCTATAATTCAATTACCACAATTCAAGATAAGCTCCACGTTTCATATCAAATCAGACATCAAACTGAATCTGCATGTCTGTTTCTAAATAAGAGCAAAAGGGCCAGATACAGCAGATCAAGATGGCACACTGAGTGAAGTACATTTTTTTTCCCTAACATTTACAGCAACCTTCGTTGTGTTATTTTGTTTCAGTGGCTTCTGATGTGTTATACAAATGGAAACAAAGACCTTGTAAAGACCGTTGGGCAAGCAAGAAGTGTGACAGAGTGAGCCTTCCTGGTTAAAGGAAAAGTGTTGGAGGTCAAACTTCTTCTTTTGCATAATCTCTGTACTTACTCAGCATTAAGCGGCCTCCGTAGTCTAGAGGTAAGGTTCCCACCTCATGACTCGTGGTACGCGGGTTCAAATACCCGGCGGAGGTCGTCGAATTTTTAAGGGCGGAAAAATTCAGGGAACAAGTCCTCCGGGAGGGACTTTAAGCTGTGTGTCCCGTGTCGTAACTTTACGGCACGTAAAAGAACCTCATATCCCCAAAGGGGATCACTGAGCCAAATTCCAGGACGTTTCCCGCCCAGCAATAGTCTCTAAGGCCTCTGATAGATGGGGGAAGCATTATAGATACCGCTAAGCAAGTGGCCGAACTCGCTTGCTCGGCGGGACTGATGGTACACACCATTTATCGGTAGGGTAAAGAGACTGGTAGAATATCATAGAGGGAAGCACAATAGATCAAACTGGTCGCGGTGCATGGGGAAACCCACCCTCTCTAAATAACTAACTACTCAGCATTACAGCACACAATGGCTATTCAGGGAAGTATTTTCACTATCATATATCACCGTATTTCCCAGGTATTTGACTGAGAGTTGCTGCCAGTTTCCCCATGTTCAAAGTTGACTACCTACACGTCTTCTATAGAAGAATAATTTTACTCAGATAGTCAAGAAATTGTCCGCATTTTGTGCATTCTCTTGGTTAATTGTCGTGTTCTCAATATCATGCTACTCGTCCATATTCTGAGTCTAATGAAGCCAGTTTACACCCTCCCTCCGGTTTTTAATATTATCCTCTCACCTCTGCTCAAGTCTTTGAAGGGGAAAGATTTTAAGGCTGGCACGTTTCACTACTTTATTGCTTTTTTATTTTAGAACTGCTTTCTGTTGTCATTTTTTTTTCATATTGTGACCATTAATTGGCAGTCGTCCGTTTTGCAAGAAGAATTGTTTTAACAATTACGACGTTTTCGTCACAGTGTTAAGGAATTTCGTGTTATTAATAGTATAGAAGTTCATAGAAGGTTGAAATGTATTTAAACGAAGGTTGGGTTTATTTAACGTCACTTTCAGTATCGTGACTCTATTTAGTGTCGGATAGTAGGATGATAGATGAATTGGAAAGGATTTGAAAATATGCTGTCGTGTCCTGATCGATGTACTATTCGGAACTTGCCTGGCTGGACTAAGGAAAAAAAACGAAAATCTACCGGTGGGTTAGCCGGAATCCCCTCCGAGAATCAAAACGATTGCCCTCCGAATACAAGTCTACAGCGTTACCTCTAGACCGGTTGTTGGGGGTTTAACTCAGGGGCACTGAGGAATGTTTCGACTGGGGCTGCGTCAAGAATTATGCTAATTAATTTGTTTTGAATGCTACTACTTTCTTTCTTTCTTCCTTTTGGGATGTCTGTGATTTCGTCGAATTGTGTTTCAGAAAAACGTGGCACACTTTCCACTACTGTGAGTGGTGTAATGCAGCAAGTAGGGGGAGTATAATTAAATTTAGAATTTGCGAAAATGTGACAGACTTTATATCTTGGAGATGTACAGTCTTATTTTTTTACTTTCGAAGGGCCACGCTGCGCGCTAGATTAACTTATATTTTTGTTGAGGTATTTTACGGTTCTACAGTGTGTGAATAGTTAGTACCGACGACACTTAAGTAATGACGAGGAAAATGTATGAATAAAGTTAGGTTTTGTAGAATTTGATGTTCTCATAACGGTGGTTATGAATAGTTCTGTCTTCTATGATGTAACGCCGTGTAGTCCGTTGAAAATCAACGACGCTTTGGGGGAATATGTGACGTCCAAGTTCAGGGTCGAAATAATAGGCCAAAGAATCACCTGCTTTCACTCTGTTTTTTTTTATATGTATAGCTTGGCTAGGTTTTAGTTAAGAACTACCACGTTGCCACATTGCCCCATTATAAGAATGTGAAAAATACGTACCAAAAATTTAGAAATTTAATATATAATTCACGAAGTTCACCAATACGGATCCATATTATTTCAACAAATCAGTGACGACAGTTATGTATTTATTGTAATCACCTAATGATAAGCACGCTGATAGAAACGTAATGGTTCAGAAAATACAGTAATATCAACACCTAAATACTGGTTTTACTTACTTGTCAGTTATTGTGTTAACGTCCACATTCAATCCCTTTAATCTGTATCTATGTCAAACCACATTCATTACATACCTGAACACTTTACCAATCTATATGGCGTCACATCCAAGAAAACCGTAATGCCAATATACTTACTCTTTCAGAAAGTCCATTTCCCTAAAGTCTCTTACCAAAGCCTACAAACCGCCACCTTGAATGTCCGTATCTAAGGGATGGTGAATTTAAATTACTAAGAGGATCGCAAAATAATTAGTTTTAGTTTCTGATAGTTGCTCTGAGGAAAGAAGGCTTGTGAATGCGCTGTCTAACTTTCCTGTTATTACGATACTCGACCTATAAGTTTCCCCGTTCATAATCTTTCTCAGTGTATGACGTTTAAGCGACACATACTGGTTTTCGGATTAGATAATTTTAGACCGTCAAAACCAAGGTTATTCATGCCTTAAACAACAAGAAAGTCACTTCAAATTGTTGGTCTATAGTTTAGTAGAATGCACAGGGAAGGCAGATATTATTTCAGGCTTTATGTTCCCATGAATTTGAGAATTAGGGATACGGGATTCCGGGATATAGCTCAGTGTAATTTAACTTCCATCTACCAAACCACATGGCGACATATCCCACAGTACCGTAGTTTGGAGAAACCATAAAACTTTTGTAACTGCCTGCCTTCAGAATTGGATTCATGATGCAGTTGTGTTATTACACCAGAGATATATAGAGCGTCTTGTGTCTAAAACAACTTTCAAGGTACATTATTATCATCATCAGAGAATGAAGTTGATGGTTACATAATCATTAGAAAGTCACCACTTTATATCTGAGACCTAAATGTATACCCAAATTGTCATAATTGCGAGGATTTTTCTCTAGTACATTCGTTTACTTAAGTAATGTCATACCCTCGAAGTTATTTCAGACAAAGTACAAGGCTATGTTACAGACCTGAAATTAGTGGATATTACTTTTTGCTAACAACAATTATAAATAGCTAAGAAGAGTAGAAAATGAGTATTCTCTAACAGCAACCAAAATTTGTTGCTGCTGCTGGCATATACCGGAGTCAAAGTTACAAACGATAATTTAGCGGTCTTTTCATTAAAAGAAAAAGTGTTCTTGTCACATCTCCGTTCGTTTGAAGTAGTTCTTTTTGGTTTTCGTTCTTACGAAGAAACGTCCCATATTTGTTGTACATATTGTCACGTGATGGAATGACTATAGACGGCCTTCGGATTTCTGATTGG